CCCCACCGCTGGTACGTCAGCGATTGTAGCGATGACTCCATTAGCGAGGGCTCTGCCTGCCTGGTTAGCGCGGGCCAGCCCCTCGCGGTGGCTCATACGCACAATCAGACTCGGTTACGCGATTCAGTTCGCGAAACGGCCCCCCAAGTTTACGGGCATGTATTTCTCCAGGGTCAACCCCCTGTCCGCCCCTGTCTTGCGAGAGGAGATTGCTGCCCTCCTGGCGAAGGGTGCAATCGAGCCGGTTCCTCCAGCCGAGATGGAGAGTGGGTTTTACAGCCCATACTTCATCGTACCCAAAAAGAGCGGTGGGTCACGGCCAATCCTAGATCTGCGCGTTTTGAACCGCTGTCTGCACAGGCTGCCGTTCAGAATGCTCACGCAGAGGCGCATTCTCCAATGCGTTCGTCCTCAGGATTGGTTTGCAGCCATAGACCTGAAGGACGCGTATTTCCATGTCTCCATTCTTCCACGCCACCGCCAATTTCTGCGGTTTGCGTTCGAGGGTCGAGCGTGGTAGTACAAGGTCCTCCCCTTCGGGCTCTCTCTGTCTCCGCGGGTCTTCACCAAACTCGCGGAGGGTGCCCTAGCACCCCTTCGGCTCGCGGGCATTCGCATACTCAATTATCTCGACGACTGGCTGATTTTAGCCCACTCGCGGGAGCAATTGATTATGCACAGGGACGAGGTGCTTCGGCATCTCCGCCTACTGGGGCTTCAGGTCAACCGAGAAAAGAGCAAACTCGCCCCCGTGCAGAGGATTTCTTTTCTCGGGATGGAGCTGGACTCGATCACCATGGTAGCGCACCTCTCCGAGGAATGCGCTCGCCTGTTGCTGAACTGTCTGAGGGAGCTCGACAGCAAACTAGTGGTCCCACTGAAGTTCTTTCAGAGGCTCCTGGGGCATATGGCATCCGCAGCCGCCGTCACGCCGCTCGGGTTGCTCCATATGAGACCACTTCAGCACTGGCTTCACGATCGGGTCCCCAGACGCGCATGGCACGCGGGCACACACCGGGTCTCGGTTACTGCGCTGTGTCGCCGCGCCCTCAGCCCTTGGAACGACCCCTCGTTCCTACAGGCCGGTGTGCCTCTAGGACAGGCGTCCAGCCATGTTGTTGTTTCAACAGACGCTTCCAACACGGGTTGGGGGGCCGTGTGTCACGGGCATGCGGCTGCGGGCCTCTGGAAGGGTGCCCAGCTGCATTGGCATATCAATCGCCTAGAGCTGTTGGCAGTGTTCCTCGCTCTCCACCGCTTTTTACCGGTGCTGGAGCGGCAACACGTGCTGGTCAGGACGGACAGTATGGCGGCGGCGGCGTATATCAACCGCATGGGGGGTATGCGCTCTCGCCGCATGTCTCAGCTCGCCCGCCGTCTGCTCCTCTGGAGTCACCCGCGGCTGAAATCGCTGCGCGCCATTCACGTCCCAGGCACGCTCAATCGTGCAGCCGATGCGCTCTCACGACAGCTGTTACGCCCTGGAGAATGGAGACTCCACCCCGAGTCTGTTCAGCTGATATGGGCGCGATTCGGGGAGGCCCAGATCGATCTGTTTGCTTCCCCCGAGAACGCTCACTGCCAGTTGTTTTTTTTCCCTGACCGAGGGCTCTCTCGGCATGGATGCACTGGCCCACAGCTGGCCTCGGGGCATGCGCAAGTATGCGTTTCCCCCAGTGAGCCTGCTCGCGCAGTTTCTGTGCAAGGTCAGGGAGGACAAGGAACAGGTTCTGCTAGTTGCGCCCCTTTGGCCCAACCGGACCTGGATATCAGAGCTCTCACTCCTCGCGACGGCCCTCCCCTGGCGGATCCCTTTGAGAGAGGACCTACTCTCTCAGGGACAGGGCACCATCTGGCACCCTCGCCCCGATCTTTGGAACCTCCACGTGTGGTCCCTAGACGCGAGGAAGACTTAGGTAACCTACCGACTGCGGTGGTTAATACCATCACTCAGGCTAGAGCCCCCTCCACGAGGCGCGCCTACGCCCTGAAGTGGAGTCTATTCACTGAATGGTGCGTCTCTCGCAGAGAAGACCCCCGAAATTGCCAGATTAGTGTTGTGCTCTCTTTCCTTCAAGAGAAGTTGGACAGCAGGCTGTCGCCCTCCACTCTCAAGGTTTACGTGGCCGCCATCTCCGCTTATCATAGCGCGGTAGCTGGCGGCACCGTGGGAAAGCATAACCTGGTCATCCAGTTCCTTAGGGGTGCTAGGCGAATTAATCCTTCTCGCCCCCCTCTCATGCCCTCTTGGGATCTCGCCCTCGTTCTCACGAGTCTGCGATCCGATCCCTTTGAGCCACTCGAATCAGTATCTCTAAGATTTCTGTCCCTGAAGACAGCTCTGCTGGTTGCGTTGGCCTCCATCAAGAGGGTCGGGGACCTGGAGGCATTTTCGGTCAGTGACTCGTGCCTGGAATCCCGGTTATGTGCCCAAGGTTCCTACCACCCCCTTTAGAGATCAGGTAGTGAACCTGCAAGCGCTGCCCCCGGAGGAGGCAGACCCAGCCCTTTCTTTACTTTGTCCAGTTCGCGCTCTGCGCATTTATGTGGACCGTACTCAGAATTTTAGATCATCTGAGCAGCTCTTTGTCTGTTATGGCGGTCGGCAGCAGGGAAGTGCCGTATCGAAACAAAGATTATCCCACTGGATTGTGGATGCCATTTCACTCGCTTATTCGAGTCGAGGTCAGCCGTGTCCCCCGGGAGTACGTGCACACTCCACTCGGAGCATTGCATCCTCTTGGGCGCGTGCACGCGGCGCCTCTCTAACAGACATCTGTAGAGCTGCGGGCTGGGCGACACCCAACACATTTGCAAGGTTTTACAATCTGCGAGTGGATCCGGTTTCCTCAAGGGTATTAGGTAACCCTTTGGTGATTGAGGAGACAACTCGGTAGGGTGTTGAAACACGCTTGCTGCGCCATTCTCCCTAACACGGAGGTACGTGCGCCTTTTTTATCTGTCAGTAAAGTTCCCCGTCAGGTGAGCCCTGCAGATTCCTCTGTGGCCCCCAGCACTGACTCAGCGGAGGAGTCACTTGCTGGCCCACTACGTTGTAGGTCTGCCCGCTGGTCAGCCCGCGTTTTGGGTATAGGTGCCTGCTATGCGTGATCCCCACTAGGCGATCCCATATGCTTATTCCGCCACGGTTAAGTCCCCCCCCTGGGCGGACCCGTGTCTTCCCTCTCCGCTAACCACTCTTTTGCTATGCGTACTCCCCCTTTTTAGGGCTAGTCCATATGTAAATTCTGCCATCTATCCCCCCCTTGGGTAACGGATGGCCTCCGCAGCGTCCTCCCTATCGGGATTGCACGCTTCCCAACGTACTGTCGTATTTCCTAGAATTATCTAGATGCTCACGACTTCCCAAAAAATATATCTAAATCCGTAAAACTTCTGTTGAAGTAGGATAAATTAGGGCCAGGGACACGTTGGAGGACCGCGCCCCCCATGATGTGGGTGCGTCACGCTTGCTTGACTATCTCCTCATCGGGGGTGTTGGTAAGGTGCAGTCATTATGGCGCTTTCCATATTTCTCCCATTCATGGCACTGAAGTTCCCCAACCGAAGGGGAACGTTCGAGGTTACAGAAGTAACCCTTCATTCCCCGAGGAGGGGAACGGAAGTGCCATATTCCGTCGCCATAATGACTGTCCCTTAGCTGTTTGAAAGTCTCTTCAGCTTAAAAGGATGGCGTCTGCTGGCTTCAGGTGTGCTTATATGCTGAGATAATTGCAGATGTCGCACACCTGTGCAAGCTTACGCTGCCAATTAATTTCATTCATTGGCCCGTTCAATACTCTCCAGATAAGCGGCTTCTGATCCGAATCCTCCCATTCATGGCACTTCCGTTCCCCTCCTCAGGGAACGAAGGGTTACTTCTGTAACCTCGAACGTTTTTAAAATTCCAGTATCGATTGGTACCGAATTCCAGTATCGTGACTACCCAAGCTCCAAGAATCTTACAATCTACAAAATAAACTGTATAAAACACTTTTTATTTTTCAAAAAACATTATTAACTTTAAAGTGAATCTACAATTTTAATAAAGCTTCAAAGCTACACTTTTTATAATTGAGATTACATTATTAAGTTACATGAACTGTATTTATTTATTTATCTCAAAAATACAGTTAGACCAGTTTGGGATGGAATTTAGATATTTAAATATTCTAATTTACTGTGCACAGTCGCTTTAAATTTGACATATTTTACCACTGTACTATTATGGCTAGATGCAAATGACCTCCAATATGATTGGCTAACATTTGATGAACTCACATAGTTTGTGAGAAAAGTAACATGAATAATTCATTTATATATAATCCTCCTTTTGGGTCTCATCTTGTCATTGAATCAACCGATTCGGTTCACAAATGGATTTGAATCATTGGATTTAATTCATTCACAAATCTGAACCTTAAGCGATTTAATTTCTTCCCTTTCTCAAACAAAACTATAAAATGGCTTTAGACACCTTAGAAGACAAAATTTTAAATAGCTCAAGTTTTACAATACTTTATAACACATCAGCATTTTTGGCAAGAAAAGCTTCGAACATGTTCATTGTAATTTATTTGAAAATTAAAGGCAACATCTGTTCTGTTCTTCAAAAACATTGTGAATGTGCATCGCGGAGAAAAATGAATTTAAGACACATGTGGCATGACTTTTTTTTTTAAGTGTACTGTCCCTTTAAAAGATTTCCTTATATGGCATAAATTGACTTTTTTCTTCGTTTTTACAGTCTTCTCTTTCCCGCTCTAATTTACAAATATGGAGGTCGATTTAAGTGTCAGATTATGGACCCCTGCTGTGATAATTCAGTCTTTTGCTATAATACTCTTCTCTCCTGTTCACCTTTACAAAACATTCATCCTCTACAGTCAGGAAAAAAAAATCCTATTAAAGTGGCTGCCGGAGGGAGCAATTTAAAATGAATGAATCTAAATAACGACGGGCAATTTGTTGCTATAGAAAGCTATTAAGACGTGACTCACTGACAGAACGGCAGGCCAGTTTCAGAGTCGAGGTGGCAGGTTCCTCCGTTATAACAGTATCCGTCACACAGCTGACAGCTGGCTGCAATCCTGCCATTCGTACAGCTGCAAACATACACAACAACACTGGGGAACACACTCAGGAGAACGTTTTTTTTATTTTTTATTATTATTATTATTATTATTATTATACTAAACAATAAAAATATAAACTGCTAAATAAATAAATAAATTGCTTAATAAATAAATAATCTGCTTAATAAATATATTACTAAATATATAAATAAACTGCTAAATAAATAAACTGCTAAAAAATAAACTACTAAATAAACTCCTAAATAAATACATTGTTAAATAAACTGCTTAATAAATAAATAAATAAATTGCTAAATAAATAAATTGCTAAATGAATAAACTTCTAATAAATAAATTCTTAAACAAACAAACAAATGAAAAATAAATAAATTAATAAATAAAATACATATAATAGAACATATTTATAAATATGCTGGGGTTCCAAAACAGAAGTATGACAAACATTACATAATAAAAAAAACATATGTAGAATAATACAAAACAATATGGAAATGATAACAGAAATAATACAATAACTATAAATACTATTATATATTATAAATAAAAAAAATATATAATATTATATATATATTTTTTGTACATTTTAAGTCAAATGCTACTTTCATATTTATGTACTTATGTTTATTATAAATTAATTAATTAATAATTTCATATAATAGGTGTGTACGGTACTTACAAAATATTTGTACAGTAAAACACAATTAACAATTTTAATAATATGTGTAAAATAATTTACTAACTTTTGTGATATTGTGATTGAGATTTGTTGTATAATATAATATAATATAATATAATATAATATAATATAATATAATATAATATAATATAATATAATATAATATAATATAATATAATGTAATGTACACTTAATTTAATACCATTAATAAATACACAGAATAATAATTAAACAAATAAATACACATAATAAATAAACAAAATCAAAATAAATAAATAACTAACTACATAAATAAATAAATAAATAAAAACACAAAACAAAATAAGAAAATAAATACACAAAATAAATCAATATATAAACAAATACATACACAAAATAAGGAATTAAATGCATAAAATAAATAAATAAATAAATACACAAAATAATTAAATAAACAAAAACACAATTAATTAATTAAATTCTATAATAAAATGATATTATGTTTTGCATACTTCCAAAACAGAAGTTTACAAAACATTACATGACGCGGATCATCCTTAAACTCCAAAAACAATTACTATTCATAACACTTCCTCCATCTACTACTAACATTACAGTATATCAACAAATAAGCATAAAATTATCTGAACTGTAACAGTACTGACTTGCAGGCGACATCTCCAGTCTCTTCATCTACGATACATGGAGCTCCTCGGCAGCGAACACATCGGTCTGTCTCACATTTGGAGCCCTCGTATCTTGTGGGACAAACACATTCCACGTGTCCCGAGCTGGACAGTGTGCAGCCTTTAGAGTGTGCGCAATAATGATGGCAAATATCTGACACCACAAACAAAGACAGACAATTATTAGGACCATTATTATGCTCATCAAAATTTTTCATCCTATTTTAACAACCTATTAGAACAACTTAAGGGACATTCTACCATAAACATACATTATCTGTCTCTGAAATTAAAACATAAATACAGTGAATAAAAAGTATTTCATCTCAAAAATGTCTAAAATGGACTGATTGTTGATTTTCTGTGAGTTGTTCTGTAAAGAAATACAATTTATCATTCATTTGGTTCTCTGATTTTTTTTTTCTTTATTAAACACTACAAATGTACAAACCCTGTCATTGTCCTCATCCTCATCCCAATTAAACTTACAGCTTTAATAGTTTTGTTATGGTAAAAACTGCTATTTAGAAGTACAAACTTCAGAAATAGCAAAGTTTAAGTTGTTATCATTCACATCAATTGATTAAAAACAAAATTATAAACACAATCCACAAATAAATACTATTTACAAGTGTCCCCATGTTTCTGTCAGTCATATTTGCATTAAATGTAATTAAATGTGTTTGTTTTGATTGATTATTATAGATTTTGTTGAGGAGGACAAGCTTAAAGGTCATGCCCTGTCACATTTTTATGAGTGAAAATGTACATTTCTGGTTGAATGTCTCTTAATTACTTCAGTTTCTCATACAAAACTGTCAAATGGCCTAGAAGCAAATTATTATTGTTGCATTTTCAGTGCAAATCAGTCTTTTCTTACTGCGCCTTTAGAATTATATCCAAATAAGCTCTGTTGTGGTTTGCTGTCACAATCACCAGCGATGTAATCCTTACAGAGCGCTGGTAAAAACACAGATTGCTAAAGAACTACAAATCCACTGTTACATGGACTACAGATCCAGTCATGCACCACACACACCTGTTCTGGATCACGATTTATTACATTCACACAGCTGGGAGCTGCTCAAAGACTGATTACAAGGACTATAAAGATAACACACACACACACACACGCACGCACGCACGCACACACGCACACACGCACACACACACACACTGTTGTTGAGTCTTGTTTTACAGTTTTGTGACATTACAACACATTTTCCTTGCCTTGCTTTGCCGTGTTTTTGACCCTCGTCTTGTTTGTTTATGTTGTCTGCTGCCTGCCTGTTCTGACATATCACCTGTGTTTTTGACTACGACTCTGGATTTGCCACTGTGTTGACCACTACTTGCCTGACTATTCTTAATGAATCTGAATTTGGATCCGCACTCCCTTGTCAGCTTCCCATTCACATTACATTTGCTAATCGAGTGTTTTAGACTGTTTCGCTATACCTTTATAAGTATATGCAAATAAGCTCTTTTGCAACTTGCTAATCTAATAGGAGATTGTTTGGTGTGATTGTGAGAATAGTAGGATGGCATGTTATTATTGGGCATTCACATTTTATTGCAGTTCTTTACTTCCTGTTTAATTGGATGTAATTTAATGGAAAATAGAAACATATTTTAATAACATTTTAATGTTTAAGACACTGTCTCTTTACGAGGTTTCTTAATATGGCATGAAAGACCATTTTTTCCTTCATTTCTACAGTCTTCACTTTTCCACTGGTGTCTCTCTCTCTAATATACAAATACGGAGGTTGATACGGAGGTGTCTTTTTATAGACCCCTGCTGTGATAATTCAGTCTCTTTCAGGCGTTTTGTAATGCATTCTGTGTCATCTGAGAGGAACAACAGAGACATTTCCGCAGGAGCCTACAGTGCTCCCTAGGTAGGTAGTGCACTAGAACAGCCACAGGGTTAATTTTACTCACAGCTGTTTTCCTAACAGATTTTCTAGAAAGGTTTACTTACAACCCTCAAACAAATTGTTTAGATAAAACCAATAAGTGCTAGCAGGTCAAATTAAACTACAGTATATGTGGACTTTATTTTCGCTCTGTCATTTTACATCACTTTTGTTTTAATCCTTTCTTCACCTACTGAATTAAAGATAATCCATTTTAGTCACAATGGATAAAATAAGGTAATTTGTAGATGCCAAATTGCCATTAGAAGCAGTAAAAGATGAGTGATGGAGAGTCTTATGACATGAGTGATTGTCTATCAGCATCGTAAATGACTGAAAGAAGGTTGTAAATTATAGTGGGATTTGATACCCCTGATTAATGCTTGATCTCTCACGAAGAAAGTTAAAAACTATATTTGTGTGTATTTATGGGTTTACGTGGATTACAGGGACACAAAGTTGTATAATGATATCAGTGTAACTTAGTTTTATTAACTTTAATTAACTCTATTAACTTATGCTTATTAACTTATGCTTATTTAATTAACTCTATTAACTCTATTTAATTACCTTTAATTAAATCTATTAACTTATGCTCTATTAAGCTTATTAGGGTTAAGGTTTAGGGCATGTCCAAGGTGTGTCCCTGCAGTTCAGAATGCTTAAAAATTATACTTAAGGTGATCTTTTGCAATTCAAAATCTGTCAGTGGTTCCAAAAGAGGATTGGGTTTAGGTGTAGGGTTGGGAACGGGCCATATAATAAGCAGCTTTTACAGTAAAAATACATTATGCCTATGGAGTCCCCATAAATCATGTGCAAGTATGTGCGTGTGTACAGGTTTCTGTGATTTACAGAGACAAATTTGTATGATGACATGAGTATGACTTAGTTGTAGCTGGTTAGGGTATGTCCTAAGTGTGTACCTGTAATTCAAAATGCTTAATACATTATGCCTATGGAGTCCCTGTAAACCATGTACACGTATGTGTGTGTTTACAGGATTATGTGGTTTACAGAGACACAATGCTGTATAATGACTTGGCAATGAATGACTTAGTTGTACTTTTTTAAGCTTGTTGGGGTATGTCCTATGTGTGTTCCTGTAATTCAAAATGCTTATAAATTACATTACGCTTATGGAGTCCCTGTAAACTATGTACAAGTATGAGTGTGTGTGTGTGTGTGTGTGTGTACAGGTTTATGTGGTTTACAGGGACATAAAGTTGCATAATGACATGGATATGACTGTTTTATTCTTTTAAGCTGGTTAGGGTATATTGTATGTGTGTCCCTGTAATTCAAAATGCTTATAAAATACCTTGTGCCTATGGAGTCCTTGTAAACCATGTACAAGTATTTGTCTAAGTGTGTGTGTGTTCAGGCTTATGTGGTTTACAGGGACACAAAGTTGTACAATGACACGGGTATGACTTAGCTGTACTCTTTTAAGATGGTTAGGGTACATCCTATGTGTGTCCCTACAATTCAAAATAATTATAAAATACATTACACCTTTTGAGTCCTTGTAAACCATATACAAGTTTATGTGTTTGGAAGGGTTTTCCTTAAATAGTGGAACAGAGTTTGCATTGATTTGTATCTTAGATTAAACAAATATTAATAATAAAAATAATATGTAATATGTTTTGGACCCTTATAACGGTTCGTACCATTGTGAATGCATGGTCATGCCAGCAGTCTAGATTTTGTTCATACAAGTGTACTATTTATATGTGTTTTTTGGCTTTAAAATGGCATTTTAGAACGCATTATACCCTCCATCTCAGTCACACTGAGTCAGGGTTTTAGTGATTGTGCAAGTTGGAATATAATTTCCGATATTTTTAGGGGCCATTGGGATGTTTTTGTTGAGAAAACATGGCAACCCTGCTGCTAGGATTTTTGAATGCTAGCAAAGAGTTAATTGGTTTATTAGTGTTATATTTTGCTACTGACGTTGTTGACAGCGCTCTCCGGTGTACTCAGCTGGACACTGACACACAGGCTGATTTCCCAGAGTCACGTCACAGGAGCCTCCATTCAGACAGAAACCATCACACAACCTTTGCTCACACAGAGAACCACTGAAGCCCAGAGCACAGCGACACGTGGCCTTCCCTACAACACACAAAAAGAGAAAGAGAGAGAGAGAGAGAGAGACAGTAAACACACACACGCTCTGTCGGTTTTGTATATCTGCAGAACTACCTAAACAAACTGAACATTTCATTAAGACTACAAGAGAAGGTCAGAAATGTTTGCAGGCTGCTTTCGCTTTCACTTTTTAATTAAGTAAATATTAGTGCTGTCAAATGATTAACTGCATCCAAAATAATGCTTGTTTGTTTGTATTTGCAATGTGTGTTATGATGTGTGTACTCACTGTGTAAAAATATTGTGTAATGACAAATTTATAATAGTCCATCCACAAAAAAATAAATAAAATGACTAAATATTATGCATTAAAAAAACCAAAAGCTAAATATTTATATAAAATATACATATATAGTTCGGTTACGATTATGCCATCAATTCAGTTCAATTCGACATCTCATTGCATCACGATTCATTGAAGATGCTTTCCATAAACAATTTTATATTTTACCTTACAACACAAGAATTTCTGTCTTATAATGTATACATTTATTTATATATTATTTGTAATACAATTTTGTCCCGGCAGCGGCGATCACAGCTGATCCATGATAGACATGGTGGAGAAAACTCGCTCTGCAGACACATGCTCGTGTCTGTCTCTAGAAGTAATGCTGTAAAAGCCGAGTGAGAGGAAAAGTCACGCCAGTAGGTCAAAGAGCCACAGTGAGAGAGAGAGAAATGGAGTTTACTTTCATTTTCTCAATCGCAGTGAAATAACTTCAGTGTCAGACAGTGAAAGACTGTCTAGCAAACATGCACGCAGTGAATTGTGCAGTTTCTACATTTTTAAGCAATTAAAGTGTTTTAATTACTCGCAGTCAGCTTTCTTTATAGTAAACTACAACGACATATGAGATAAATGAGGTCAGTACGTAATAACCGGTTATGATCTACTACTGAAACGATACCGATTTGTCCGATTCAACGGTTTGTTTTATAAAATAATGTCAATAGTATGTAAATAAATTAGAAATTATTTATTAAATAAATTAAATACAATGATTTTATTCTGTCATATCTAATATGTAAATAATTAAATATTTCTGAAACTTTTTCATCTTAACATTTTCCCCTGAACAAAACATTACATTTTTGAATGTGTATATACATTTTAAAACATTTACTCCATGCACAACTATAATTGAATTTTTATTTAACTTTAAGATTTTATATATTTATAATTGAACATTTATGTTTTATTTTTTGTAGTCATATTGCATTATGCATACTGTGATTTACACAAATTTACTCCTCATACAATATTTTAACAATTATTTTCCTTCTTTTATCAGTAATTTTTTAAATATCCTTTTTTTCATCATAGATATTTCAGATGTTCCTTAATCCATAAATATTGATCAGTAAACATTTCTATTTCTTCTGTATTTAACCCAAAACACATTCACCATTATATGATTCACACAACGTCATTAAAAACTTATAATATCACATAAACACATTTGACAAATCATAGACTGACATAAGGACAAAAAGAAAAACCTCACAGTCAGGACGACTTCTTCAAGACGACTTTCCAGGCTAATCATGCAAATGACAGGGTGCTAGGCTAGTGTTAGTCAACAGAATCTGACAGAGCTTTACTGTACATCGGCTGGCTTGATTTCCATCTGCCAGCTGCTCACAATGACAGTTTTTAACAGAAAAAATGCCAACAGAAACAATCCGGCCTGGTTTTCAGACGCTAGCAAACTCCAACTGATCTCCTTCCAGCTTCTGCTTGCTGCCAAAATGCTAAAAGAGAGCACTGATTTACGCAACTGCTTCATCATGACGTGTTTTCTGCAAACGTTATGCTTACAGGAACATTGGCTGTCTCCAAAAACAGACGATGACAAAAAAAATGACACTCAGAAGTTCAAGAATGTGCATTAACGGTAACTATTACAGATTGTCTAATTATATGTCCAAAATCACTAATATTGCCTAACATTTTTAGTTTGGGTGAACCAGAGAATGAAAATTCTGTCATTATTTGTTATTTTTTGTGTCGAAGGCAAAAGTCGGTTAGCTGGATGTTCATGCTGTTCTGTTGAATATAACAGTGTGTATATACAACCAGTTTTAAAAAGACTTAACCGTATGTTTATAGCCGGCAGCTAGCTCTCTGGCCGGCAGTTAGCTCTCTGCAACTATCACATGGTCACCCACTGAAGCTAAGCAGGGCTGCGCCCGGTCAGTACCTGGGTGGGAGACCACATGGTAAAGCTAGGTTGCTGCCGGAAGTGGTGCTAGTGAGGCCAGCAGGGGGCGCCCAACCTGTGGTCTGTGTGGGTGTGGTCTCAGTGAGCGCCGTCTTTCGGATGAGACGTTAAACCGAGGTCCCGACTCTCTGTGGTCGTTAAAAATTCCAGGATGTCCTTCGAAAAGAGTATCCTGGCCTAATCTGCCCACTGGCCTTTGTCCATCATGGCCTTCTAACCATCCCCATATTCAATTGGCTGCATCACTGTCTCCAACTCAGCTGGTGTGTGGTGTGCGGTCTGGCGCAAAATGGCTGCCGTCGCATCATCCAGGTGGATGCTGCACACTGGTGGTGGATGAGGAGATTCCCCCCATTGTGTAAAGCGCTTTGAGTGCCCAGAAAAGTGCTATATAAATGTAAGGAATTATTATTATTATTATTATTAGGTAAATGTTTATACCGCATTTTTAACTTGTTTATTGTTTTAAGTTTAATATTTTTTTCTCATATGAAAATAATAATTATATTTATTTTTCAATATAACCAATCATTATTATTATTATTATTATTATTATTATAAGAGGTGCAACAAATCACAACCCACAGTTTGGAACGCACGTGATCCATGGATTAACAACTTTTTTTGAATTTGTAATTCCCGCGTAATTCAAATCACGTGTATGAAAGCAATTTGGCTTCCCTGAAAAATATAATGTTAATGGAAAAGTTCTGGTGCGATCTACCTAAATGCTTTCTTAGGCTATTGTTTAAAGATGTTTTCTGTGTTTTCTGTTTGTTTAGCCTGCATTAATGCGTTCAGTTTAAGCTGCACAATTAAACGATAAAAGATCGCAATCTCATTTTAAACCCGCACAAGATGAACGATTAATGACAATAATGAGTTGCACATGTTTATTAATCCTGCTAAGCGCTGCATTAAAATCTGCGTTTGATCGAGAGAGATTCAGTTTTTACACTTTTTTTCAGTTCTTTACAAACAATTAAATAACACAGAAGTACTGGGATAACAGTTTATAGCTCAGATATAAACACTGATGTTTATGATAAAGATTAAAATCCCCGTTTAATGGAACTTGATGCTGGCGAATGTTGTAGCAATTACATTGTGTAACCAATGGGTGGCGACAAACAACCATCAAATTTTTTTTGCTGATCCGAAAATGGTTTGATCCATGACCCAATATCTGTAGTGTGATCCGAACCGTGAGATTTGTGATCTATTATACCTCTAGTTTATTATAATTATTATTATTACTATTTTAGCACTGTTTCAGTAAAAATGCTTAAAATGCATATACATATCAAACTGAATAATTATTTATTTCTTTTTAAAAGAAACAAATTGCAAAATGTAACATTATTTTAATGTTCAAACAACTTTTATCATAATAAATTAGAATTTAAATTAAAACAAATGGTGTCCTAAATAAATAAATGAATAAATACTTGATTGAATGTAGGATTAAATATAAATATGAAATATATTTTGTAACTGTGTAACTGTGAGTCTCAATAAATATATATATTTTTCAAGCTTTAGATACTGAAATCTACAGTATTTCAAGGTCAAGGACTTTTCCAACCTTTCAGCAGAATGTGCATGGAGATCTAAAGTATTGAGTTATATTTTAAACTCCTTGATTTTCTTACAGTGAAAAATATGAGTACATGCGAGTAAATAAAACATGTTTGTGTACGGCTCCTTTGGAGCAGAATTCAAAATGGTGTTTCTGGCCTCTTTTACATTTGAAATTAACACATTGGGGTGACACGGTGGTGCAGTAGGTAGTGCTGTCACCTCACAGCAAGAAGGTCGCTAGTTCGAGCCTCGGCTGTGCAGATTAATAAAGGAACTAAGCCAAAAAAGAAAATGAATGAATGAATTAACCCATTTATAGACGGTGAATAAACAAAAAAACAGTGCCAACCTAGTGGAGATCCAGTGCAGGTTCCTCCATTAAGACAGAAGTCTTTACAGTGGCTGATTTCACAGCGTTCACCAGAGTAATTTGGCCAACAAAAACAGCGGGATTCCCCTCGTTCATTAGTGATACACCGACCTCCATTCTCACAGGCAGGACGACACAGATCTCCTAAAACACAAGTAAAACCTGTTCAATTCCATCATATTCTACAAATTAAATTACAACTTTAAGGATGAAGCATTAATATGTAAAGACAAAACCTGCTGTCAGCGCAGAGAATTTGTTTGCTTCGTCAAAGTGGTTAACAGGTGAATTTGTGGTGAAAACTACATTAC